TTTGGTTATTCCTTTGGACTTCTTCTATTTTGACACCCGGGTGCTTGGGGAGGCATACTCTTGCACCCGTAGAACTGTTGTACCCGACGTCGAGAGCGAGGGGAACCTTTTATTGTCAATCCCCCTTTTCGTCGCTGAACCCGCTCTCGACGAACTGACGGTTCTTAAGGTGGCACTTGTGGGGCGTATGAGGAACACAGAGGGAACACAGAGCATTCAGAGAAACTTGCCATTTAACTCTGAATACATAATTCAGTTACATAATGTAATTAAATACATAAAATTCTTATGTATTGGCAATGTGATGTACATTCCAAGTATATATTAATTCTGTATCAGTTGTATGCCATGTAATTGTAGAGAATTATTAGATGTTTAGTTATAGCAGTTGACTAATGTCAGTTTGAAAAAAATCATTGTATGTTTATTGTATTTAATGCTATATAGGTAACATCATGTGGACCATGTTGGAGAATGCATACATTTAGTTTCCAGATGAATTTTTCATATGTATACAGAGTAGTTTCCATTTTGTTGTACCTTGCATTGTCCCATTGTGAGGACATTATGAAATTATGGCACTGTGAAAAGTTTTCCACTTGGACAATCTTTTGATACGTGTTGTATATATCTAATATATTTTATATCTTGTATGCATATCTGTTGGCGTATGTCATAGAATTCTCCCTAACCCCCCTCCCCCCTCCCACCCCTCTCCCCTTCTGATGTACCGACTTTGCCAGTGTTACCATCTCGTATCCATGCGAATTCTTTATACTTATTTTGTATTTCATGATTTCTTCAATGTATTGATTTTCTATTATACATAATTATGTAAGGTTGTGCCTTGTACTCTTTAAGTTGTTAAATTAGAAGTTCCTAAGTATGTTGTAAAAGACTTAGATTTGAAAGTTGGTCAGTTGATTGGAGTTGGTTAGTGTCCCCTCTCGGCAAGCTTACCTCAAGACGCCACAACTCTGATCTCTTCAGGTGAGCGGACCTGTTGGCATTTGGTCTGTGACCTTATTTGGGTAGTTGCCTGCTAGATTTATAATCGTGTGTTTATAATGGAAAATTTCTGCTGTTAAACATGTATATCAGGCGATAGGTGATTTTTGTCTTGGTGAGGTGATATATTTTGAGGAACTTGTGAAATGCCAAGGACCTAGATTCGTGAAGCTGCCTGTATTTCTTCGTAAGTAGGTTTGCTATGAAGGTTCTTAAGTATGCCCTAAAAATATGCTTAGGTGCAATTCAGGTAGGTCCACTTAGGAAGAAATTTGATGGTTCACCAGCGTGCCGATAGAAGTCGGTTTCGTTTGGCTAATCAGAGAGCAGGCAACATTATTTATTTTATTTATTTATATATATACAAGGTACATTGGGTTTGTGAGAATACATTGGATAGTACAGTATTTACATTCTTGTAAAGCCACTAGTACGCACAGCGTTTCGGGCAGGTCCTTAATCTAGCAGATAATTTTAAGTAGGTAATTTCAATCAGAATTGATAAATGATAGATACATTAAAAGAGAAAAATGAGGAGAGACAAGTAGGTATATTAAAGCACATTGTTATATTAGAGCTCTGATTGATTACATTGACAGCTTGATTAGTAATTTAATCAAGGTTAATAGACACCATACAGCAGATTGACAGCACATATAAGACAGCAATGATCACAATGGTTAAGATGTTCAGATTGGGTACATAAAGATTGTGAGACTGGGTAGCAAATGATACAGATAAACAAGATTTATAAACACCATACAATAGAATGGCAGCACATATAAGAAAACATTGAAAGTATTCAAACAATGTATTCAAACATTGAATACATTGTTTGAAAGGTCTTGTAGAAACTGGCAAGAGTAATTATGTTTCCATGATTCAGTGCTTACCTCTTGTGAAAATCGTGAAGTTGTTTAGTCAGTTGATTTTTTTGTATTGAGGCTGGTATTTTGTACCTTGATTCCATGCATGTCTAACCATCCAGTGAGATGGGAGTATTAGATAAACTTGTAGCTAGTTTTTTATCTACACTGTGTAATATGCCATATAGAACAGGGTAGCAGCACATTGCTGTGTATACCTAATCTTCTTAAAAAAAAATCGTTAATAAAGATTTTAAATTTTAGTTTGTATTAAAAGTACTGTATTATCCTTATTAAATCATGTTAACCATGGATCATAAAGATCATGTTGATAAGTAAGTCATATTTCTTTTGAACTGCTAATCCATGCCCATCATTTTCTAATCATTCATTCCCCCCCTCCCCGCTCAGCTCGTTGTCGCCGTGTGGGGGCTTAGTGGGCGGCTGCCGGAGTGTGATGCTCCTTGGGACAATCCTGTCCTCTTCTAGCCTTGTGCTCCTGCCGCTGTCCTCTCCAATTATGCTGAGCACCTTTTCCTTTTCCTTCAGTTTCGTTTTTTCTCTCCCCTCTTCTATCTGCTTGCCGTTTTCTGCCGACCTTTTGCTGGTTCTGGTTATTCCCTTGGACTACTTCTATTTTGACGCCCGGGTGCTTGAGGAGGCATACTCTTGCACCCGTAGAACTGTAGTACCCGACGTCGAGAGCGAGGGGAACCTTTTATTGTCAATCCCCCCTTTTGTTGCTGAACCCGATCTCCACGGACTGACTGTTCTTAAGGTGGCATTTGTGGGGTGTATACTCAAGACTCGCCCCTAGGGGGCCCCGGCATGGTCGGCAATAGCTTCCTGTTGGGTGTCCTGCCTCTAATTGTGGGTATGGGGGCACATTCGTGGATGAATTTCTCTTCGTCTGTATGTCGATAAATGTTTGTTGTATCCTCTCAGGCTCGTGGGGTGGGCGACCAAGCCCCCCCCCCCACCCCCGAGTCGGTCCGTGTTGGAAGACCGTGCTCTGTAGCCTCCGCTGCATTGGGCCCCGACCTTGCTCCTCCTTTGGCCTCTCCGACTCCTCCCCTCGGCTCCCCTCCCTCTGTGGTTGGGTCGAGCCCCAAGCCCCCAGTGGTGACTACCTCGTTCTCTGCCGCGGCTCCGTCTCTAGTTGTGACCACTGCGCCTTTAACCCCTCTCTGGGGGTTCTCACCATTGTCTTCGTCACTGCCACCCTCGCTCGATTCCTTCCCGTTCTGAGACCTATCAAGCTTTGTTTGGTCCCGCTTCGTGGGCTAAATATTTTGATCTCGTCCCTCTTGATTCTGCGCCTCCTAACAATTTCTCCCTCCATCGACATCTCGTTGATTCCGTGGATGCCTCTGTTACTTTCAACCCCACTCGTCTCGGTACACGTGTCGTTGCTGCTCCTTCTCAGGATGCAGCTTCCCGCTTGGCTGCCTTATCCTTCCTTGGCGAGATCCCTGTTCGGGTCTCCAAGAACGTTCGGTTGAACGCCAGTGTTGGCACTATTCTCCTCCTGCCCCATGTTACGACCGGTGTTTGGGATCTGCGAGACTGCCTCGACGATATTAGTCATATCCTTGCTGCCCAGGGCCATTCTAGTCTCAAAGTGGACACGTTTACTCGTCCCCCTCGTGGTAGTCGCCCTCAACCCCTTCGGATTGTGAAGATTACCTTTGATGGTCGGATCCTTCCACCCTCTGTCATTCTTGCTGGTGCCAGGTGCTCTGTCCAGGAGTACATTCCTTCTTCTAGGCTCTGTAACAAGTGCTGGAGGTTTGGGCATGGTGCCCTCCGCTGCTCTGTGGCTCTGTCCTTTGTTTGGTGGCAAAGGTCACTAAGTCGGAGTGCACTTCTCCCCGAGCTCGTTGCCTCAACTGCAGTGAGGCCCATCCTACCTTCTCCCATGCGTGTCCATTACAAGCGTGAGGCCGCCGTCCTCGGCTTGAAAAACCGGGAGCGTTTATCTTTTCCTGAGGCGAGGCGCCAGGTTCGCCATCTCCTGCCTTATGCTAATATCTCTTATGCTCGCGTGTTGCGCTCTTCCTCTCATTCTTCCCACCTTCCTCCGACTCGCAACCGTTTCTGGGCCTTGGACTCTGATACGCCCACTGCCACCTCCTCTGTTCCTTTGAGTTCTGTCCCGAAGGATCCACCTCCTGGTCCTCTGTCTGGAGTTCCCCTTCTTTCTACCCAGTCTGTCTCGTCTCCTGTGTCTCCTTCCTAGTCTCCCTCCGTTCCTCCTTCCCCTCTGTCTCTAGACTCTCCCCACCGCCTGTCCAACCCGTTCTCGCAAATTTATTAAGTCAATATTGACTTATTAAATATGTGCATAGGTGACATACTTAACATAATAGATACCCTTAAAAAGATTCATAGAAAACACTGACCTTACCTAACCTTGTTAGTATCTTAAGATAAGCATCTTATGCTTCGTAATTACAATTATTACCTAACCTATAATAGGTATAGGTTAAGTAATAATTGTAATTACGAAGCAATAAGATGATTATCTTAAGATACTAACAAGGTTAGGTAAGGTTGGTGTTTTCTATGAATCTTTTTAAGGGTATCTATTATGTTTAGTATATCACCCATGCACGTAGTTAATAAGTCAATATTGACTTATTAAATTTGCGAGAACGGGTTGGCCTGTCGGTGCGGGCCGATGTCCATCGCTCTCCAAATGGCCGTCGCGTGTGCTCTCGTTTGGCTTCGCCTGTTGAGACGCTAGAATCCGTTGCCCAGTACGTAGTTGCTGGGACGCCTGTCTCTTTACGTCAGAAGCGTAAGCCTGGCTCTCTCCATCCTCTATCCCGGCGGGTAAGAAGATTTCACGTTCTTCCTCGGCCCCTTCTTCTGCCTCTATCGCTCCTTCCCCTCCCATTTCGGTGGTTGCGCCCCCTGTTCCTGCTATGGAGGTTTCTTTGGCCCCCGCTTCCCTCTCGGTTGCTGCCCTTGCTGCGGTGTGCTCCCTTCTTTCTACTCCCCCTCTTCCTGCTGCTGCCCTTGACTACTCTCTCTGTTGTCTCCTCCTCTTCCTCCTCCGGACCACGCCAGCCCCCCCCCTC